TCTGCCAGTGCAGACAGAAGGAATGTCTTGTCATGCTCCATAGCACAGTGGGATAACTACAGTGAAAACACTTGAATATTTCAAAATAGCCAATAGAGAGAACTTTGAACATTCCCAATGCAAAGAAATGATAGCCGTGTTACCATGATCTGAGCATTGCCCATTGCATACGATTACTGGAAATTCTACACTGTTTCCCACAAATATGTACAATTATTGTTTGTTTGCAGTATCATGGATTAGACCCAGGGGTGCTCTACCACTGAATTATAGCCCCAGCCCTTATTGTTTTTTTATTTTGAGACAGGGTCTCACTAAGTTGCCCAGGCTGACCTTGAACTTGTGATTCTCCTGTCTCAGCCTCCTGAGTTGCTGGGATTACAGGCTCTATCCATCAGCAGTAAACTCACATAGCAATAGAATGGTCTGATATTTATTTTTCAGTCTAAGGTTTTAGTTGAAAATAACATTCCCCTGGCCATCACCACCCAGCTTAAAAGGTCTGCCCTGGTCTCCCCAGTAATGGAGAGGGGAAGGGTGGGCTCTCATGGCTTTGCCTGGGTGCAGTTCAGAAGAAGCCGGAGAGGAGGACACTGACTACCTGTCCCCTATGTTCTGGGTGTGGCAGATCAAGATTCGAACCTGGGCCATGAGCCTAGAATCCTTCCAATACAGGTGACTGCTTGGAATATATGTGGGCCTTTGGAGAAGTAAGCATGTGACCTAAAGCACAGAAGAGACAGCAGGACGGGAAGTGGGCACTGGGAGGGGAAACCCGAAGACAGAGGGCACCAAGGCCATGGCCTTTGTCAGAGCTGTATTGCTGCTTTAATATTTATTTTTTAGTTTTTGGCATACACAACATCTTTGTATGTGGTGTTGAGGATCGAACCCGGGCCGCACACATGCCAGGGAGCGCACTACCACTTGAGCCACATCTCCAGCCCTGCATTGCTGCTTTAGACACAAGAAGAAAGAGGGTTTCTGAAGGCCACTCCCTGGTGCTGCCCTTTCCCTACAGGGCCAGCAGGACCTGTCCATTCAAGTCCATACTACTACTCCTTTTTTCTTTTTTTTAAATTTATTTTTTATTGATTTTTAAAAATAAATGACAGTGGAATGCATTAGAATTCTTATTACACATATGGAGCACAATTTTTCATTTATCTGGTTGTACATAAAGTATGTTCAGCAGTTCGTATCTTCATACATGTACTTTAGATAATGATGTCCATCACATTCCACCATCCTTGCTAGCCCCTTCCCCCCTTTTTTCTTTGAGACAGAGTCCTGCTCTATTTTGAGGCAGGCCTCATGTTTGGGATCCTCCTGCTTTGCCTCTTGAGTAGCTGGCATGACAGGTGTGCGCCACCATGCCTGGCTCAGACGACTGCTGATGGGCTGCATCTCAGCACCCAGACCTCTGGACTCCCTGAACCTGCTTCCAGGGCCTGTTCTTTCCATGGGGTTCCTGGGGATGGCTGTGGGTGGGGAGACATGAGCAGACTGAGTGGGGAGACACTTCCCAGCGTGGGCCGGAGTTGGAAGGGGAGGAAGAGGAGGTGAGTGGAGAATTGGGACTAGAGTCTAGCTAGACACTGTGTCTGCCCCACCGCCACTCCTTAAGGCAAATCCCCAAGTGTTATGCTCGAATTCGGGACCCCCAAAAGACCACCAGAGACCAAGATCTATGTAAGCAGCAAAGAGGTGTTTATTGCAAGCTAGCTTGGTCCCCCGCGCGCACACACAGCAACTGGTGACTCTGAGAGGCCCGAGCCCAGGGTTTGCAGCAGTTTTATACACTCTTTGGAGAAGGCAGGGACCCCCACATACATCATAGCAAATCATCAGACACCGCGGGAAAATCAAATAACAACTCTAAAACATGATTAGCACATTCACTGGCGGGAACAAGTTGGGTAGGGGGGATTGGTTATTACAAGAGGGGGATTCGTTTGAACTGATTGGTTTAAGCCAAAAGGGGTGTTCGTGCTGAACTACATGGTTTCCCAACACCATAAACTACTGGGAGGGTCATCTGGCATCCCAGGTATTTCTCTGTCTCATGCTGATTGGTGGCTGCTAGGGGGTTGCTATGGATCCCCACCTAGCCTGACTGAGTCAGGGACACCTGGGGCAGCAGATCTCTCCTGTTATTTGTAGATAAACAACTTAGCAGGGTGGGAATGTGCCTAGGAGTGCTCTGTGGGTCTTTCCAAGGACAAAGGTGATGTCCCTCCCTTGGACAGGCTTTGCTCTGAGGTAGAGGCTGGTTTTTCACAAGGAGTTTGAGTCCTAAACTGGAGACTGGTTTTCTAGCTACAAAGGTTGCATGTGTGTGTGTGTGCGCGCACACGTGCACAGGATGTAGAAGGACTCCTGAGGACTCTTAGCAAGCTTGTCTAATGACATGGACACACTTAGACAGCTGGGCTTCTGGACTTCCTTATGTGCATTCCTACTCTAGTCCCCTCAGTACTAGGGGCAGGCCTCGGGCCTGGGTGAGATCCTTTCAGCCCTGCTTGTCAGCAAGGTTATAGGTTCTGACCTGAGCCCCAGCTCTCTCATCTGCAAGAACCCTGTCTTGAAGGGTCAGGATTCTCTAAGTTCTGAATGACAGCATCCAGCAAAGAGCCCCTATTACCTCCCCACCCTATTTTGTCAAGGTGTGGGCATTTGGCAAAGATCCACCAACAAGCAGTGGCCTTCAGAAATCCCAGTGGGTCAGCATGTTCCCTTGAATCCAGGTTATAGCAGAGGTCCCAAAGCTATACCGACACCCCCTTCCCAGCCCTGTAGACTCAAATTCTAGCCAAAGAACCAGCATTGAAATGGCAGTTCTCTCAATTAACTACTGAGTGGACACTGTCCTTTACTCTGCTGATGGCTCTGTCCCCAGGGAGTGAGTGGTCCAGGCTGAGGGAAAGGCCCTTCCGGACCACACAGTCCTTCAACGTGACGCCTTCCCCACCAGACGCAGCTTCAGCCAGACAAGGAAAGGTAGCATTTACTTGGAGTCAGTAATTATATCAGCAAAGCAACAAACAGCCCAAATAAGGGTCTGAACAGTCAGAGGAGGGCCCTGGGCCATCTCAGCCCAGTGTGAAGGGGAGGCAAAGCTAAGGCCTCTTACCTGCTTCCCTGGGAGTACAGGTGTGAGAAGAGACACTGACTGGGCCCAGGACCAGGCAGAGATCAGCACTGGGGTCAGAGCAGAAACCCATGGTAAGACAGCAAATCCCAGGTTCAGAAACATTGAAAAACTCCACAAGAAAAAGCAATTCTAAGTCCTCCACCCCCTTTCAAACATACACACAGCAGGATTTCCCCCAAGTTTTCATGAATTGAAAAGAAACTGCTGGTTGGAATGACAGACCACTGCTTCCTCCTTGTGGTTGTTTCTACCTGGCTTGGGGATGGAGAGAGTGATTCGATAGGAAGTATCCTGACCTGAAGTGATAGAACTCCGGGAGTCTTTGGTGGATGCACATTTGACTGCAGGTGCCAGAGAACCCTGGCATTTGAAAGCCTGCCAGGCTCCTAGTGGTCCCCCAGAATAACCCGTTCTTTTTATAGATAAGTAAAGCCCCAAAAAAATGAGTGAGTCTACACAGAGCTATCGAAAACTGAATCATAAATAAAATGCAAGCCACCTATTCACCATCTAATGGCCATTGTTTTTCTACTGCACACAACTGGACTGGAAGAGGGAGTCTTGCTCCCTAAAGGCATCTTAGTTTTTGCCTGGCAGGCATATTTACCCCAGGAGTGTATGTGTGTGAACTTTGCCAGACAGCGTTCCCTGTAAGAGTTTATTCCAGAGAACTCTTTCTAGGTGTCTGGGTGATAGAACACGTCCACCAACCAGGCTGGTAAATGGCTGTATGGGGAGGGAGGGCAACTGAGCCAGAAATGTAGGGAGCCCAGAACCTGGCCAGCCCCCATGCCCAGCTAACAAGTTAGGGCTTCACCTGCTGGGGGATTGAGGCACAGGTCTCAAGGCCATGTCCAGGAGACACTGGAATTGGGAGGGCTGAGGTTCCCAGGGAGGTCAAGGCTACAGAGAGATTTGGGAGTTATACTATAGGAGAAATATGGGGCATGGTTTGCATTACAAAAGTACCTCCTGTCCCCAGGGAGGGCTTAGTTCATTCTGCAGCTAACCAGTGTCTTCTGGTGGTCCCTGCCTCAGATGAGACAAGACAAACTTTGCAGTCACAGTTTTCTTCTGGTCCCTACTCCTCCAGTTGAAACAGGTCAGCTGGTGGCAGTGAAAAAACACCTGTAATTCCAGGGAGGCTGAGGCAGGAGGATCATGGATTGTGAGTTCAAAGCCAGCTTAGCAACTTAGTGAGGCCCTAAGTAACTTCCCTAGAATCAGCTGGGGTGCACCTCTCTCCAGACCCTGAAGAATAAGGAGAGTCAGGGAGTTGGGCTGGCGGTGGCGCCCAGACCTGCGCGCAAGCGCTTTTCAAGGCAAAGTCCAGACGGGAGGCTGAGTGGACAAGGGAGGTTCACTTCATGTGCAGCCATGGACCCCTTTCAGTGACTGACGGTTCGGATGGTACCTGTTACCTCCAGGGAGCGGAGAAGGGCGGAACACAGGAACCTGTGCCCGGGATTCGGGCTGAAGACGGGTGGCAGAGGTCAGAGACACCTCCAGACGCTCCACAGTCGTGTCCCCAAGCCCGCCGCCCGCGGCCTGGAGCCGGCTGGTCCCGCAGCCCTGGGTGCCCAGCGCGAGGCTCGAGTGTCCTCCAGCGCGGGGCAGCACCAGGCCGCAAAATGTGGCGGGGCGGGAGGCGTTAGTCCCTCCCGAACGCCCCCACTTTTAAAATCTCTGCAGTCCCACCCCATCCTTTCCGATCCGGTTCCCGGCAACCGGCACCGGGTCCCGCAGCTGTCTCCGAGCTGGGCGAGGCGCAGCGGGGAGGGTCGGGGCGGGGCCAGGCGGCCGGCCATTGGCCAGGCGGGGCGGGGCGGGGCGGGGACACCGGAGGTCCCAGGCCAGGGCGCGCGCCGCGGGCCGCAGTTGTCGCCGCCGTCCGAGAGCCAGCTCCGAGCACCGAGCGCCCCCGCCATGAGGGAGATCGTGCACATCCAGGCGGGCCAGTGCGGGAACCAGATCGGCACCAAGGTGGGCCGCGAAGGGACTCAGCTCCCTGCGGGGGGCGGCGCGCTGGGGGTCTCCCCGCACGACCCCGCCCGGCGCCGTCGGTGCTCGGAGCCGGGTCTGCGGGGTCTGCCGGCGCGGGACCTGGGAGCGACTGCGCACCCGCGAGAGCGCGGCGGGCCGCGGGCGGCATCTGGGCCGGGGACCCTCCTCCGCCTGGACCCTTAGCCCCGAAAGGCCACCCGCGGCTCTGTCGCGCCCTGAATCCTGCCCCGAGGCCGGCCCTGGGGGGCGCGGGTGGGGGCGCCCGGGCTGCGGGGGTTCTGACTGCCGCTTTCTCTGCCGCGCCCTCCAAGTTTTGGGAAGTGATCAGCGACGAGCATGGCATCGACCCGGCCGGAGGCTACGTGGGTGACTCGGCGCTGCAGCTGGAGAGGATCAACGTCTACTACAATGAGTCATCGTGTGAGTAGCGCGTCGCCCCCGCCTTCCGCGTCGGGACCCTGTCGTCCCCTGCCGGGTACGCCTTCTTGCCCTGCAGGACTCCGCCGTCCCCGGCCAGGATCCCCGCCATTCCGGGCAGGGACCCCCGCCTTTGCCGCCCAGACCCCTGCGAGTTGCTCCGGGTAAACAGTCCCGCAGGACGTAGCAGGATGCCGGCCACTCCCTCGCTCCCCCTGGGGCGGGAAATCCGCCGTCGATTTATTCAAACTGCGGATCCCGCCTATCCCGAGGGTCTGAGCTCTGGGACCCAACCCTGACCACCCACTTGGGGTTTGAAATCAGCTGTGCGCCCTGGCCTGCCTTCTCTTTCGTCCTTTCAACCGTGGAACGAAACAACAGAGTAGAATACCTAAGAGGAGGATCCTTGAGAAAAACAGTGATTTTTATTTTTCAGTTTAAAATTTATCTTTTACTGGGGACTCTTGGCTATAATTTTGAAAAAAAAAACCACCCTCCTAAATGACTTTTCTGTTCCTTTGCCGAACTTCAGAAAAGTTCGGCATCCCTGGAAGCTGAAATTATGATTTCTGGGTAACTAGTGGAGGAGTTTAGTAAGATAAAAATCTAATCCAAGCTGTGGCTTATCCAAGATTGGGAATAATTTTGGAATAGCATTATTCCCATCCTGGATATGTTTACATATATAGTGACTACATGTATACACTATTTCTACAATAATTTTTATTATAAAAATGCTACATGCCCTTCAAAACAACAAAACTCTAAAACACTGAAAGGACACCCAGAAATGACTGGCACTGTGCTGGCACAGCATGGCTGGAGCCCAGGGGTTGAAGACCAGCCTGGGCAGCACACAAAACATGTCACCGGAGATTCTCACTGCACTCAGTGGTTTGGAGTGACCGCACTCTGGAGTCACCTCCTCTTTGTGCACACAGAGCTGGGAAGAGCATTATACATGAATCACTGGCTTCTATTCATGTAAGCAACCATGACAATAGGTCTGGAACACCAGGCTGAGAAGATGGAATTTCTAGGTGGCACTAGAAAATTCCAGTATGCTCTGCACTTCCTGTTGACACTTATGCACAGCTTGGTCACCTCTTTTCCTCTAGCTGGGTGTGTGCAGAGCAGGACAATACTTATTTGGGATCATATTAACCCCATTCTCACAGGGAACAATTTCTTGCCCAGTTAATGATGTGCTTACAAATAGAAATGCTACACTATCATAAATGACATCGTCCCTGGGAACACAGAGCCAGTGAGAGAGGGAACACCTGAAGGAGGTGTTCTGACTGGAACTTGGGTATGTGCATGTGTGCATTAAGCAGGAGAAGCCAAAAAGTGGAATGTCACAGCAACATGGAAGTTTGCTGCTACGGATGACGTTTATTTCTATGAAGCTAAAAAGTAAAATAGCCCAACAGGAAAGAGGTGTCAGGAGGAACTGGAAAATGCAGTAGGCAGGAAGGAGTTGGGAGGGGAGATCAGACATCTCATCCTGCCTTTTCCTGGACCGGGTCCCCATCCCAGTTATGTGAAGCTAGCTGGCTGGGTGTAGTGGCTCACAGGGTAGTCCCCACAGTGGCTGGGTGTCCCAGCTTCTTATTAGGATCCTCAAGCCCAGGAGATGGAGATGGACACCAGCCCAGGCAATATAGTAAGACCCTATCTCAAAAAAAAAGAAAGAAAATCTTTGTGATTATAAGTCACAATATCAAAAATCATTAGCACCTGTTCTAAGCAGCTCTTTTGGGGGTTGGGGGATCAGAATACTCTACACACCTTGAAGTAACTCACAGGTGGGCATCTTTCTCCTCCAGCTCAGAAATACGTGCCCAGGGCCGCCCTGGTGGACTTGGAGCCTGGCACCATGGACAGTGTGAGGTCCGGGCCTTTTGGGCAGCTCTTCCGACCTGATAACTTCATCTTTGGTAGGTTCCATTTTTCTTGCTTTCTTCTTTCCTCTGTTTTTATTTCGTCATTTGTGTGTGTGTGTGGTGCTGGGGATGGGACTCAGGGCCTTGCACCTGCTAGTCAAGTGCTCTGCCACTGAGCTTTATCTCCTGCTTGTCTTCTTTAAAAAAAAATCAGTTTATGTGTAAGACTAAAAACATCCCATGGTGTAGATAAGTTTGGCAAGAACGTTGACGGTCCTGCCTGGCCCATGACCAGGGAACCGCTTTGAAATCTGGACTTTCCTTTAGGGACGTGACCTCTGTCTCTAGGTGCAGTGCTTGTGTTGGCAGTTCTTGTTTGAGAGACAAAGCCCAGGAGACAGTTTTCCACATTGGCTTCTTTCTCCCTCTCATTATAGAGCCATTTCACTATTTGTTTTGGGTACTTTAATGGTCATTTTAACTTCAATGTGTTTTTACCTGTATTTCTTTTTCCATCACCTATAGACAGCTGTGCTGTTTTCTAAAAGATTGATGCCATATGAGTTGTGCTTTATCAGAGTTGAGTAAATCCTTTTTCCTCCTTTTCCCACCTACCCAATCATGATAGACCCTATCTCTTGCAGACTCCTGAAGAAAAGTGATATAAAATTAAATGAAGTATTATTACAGGTAGAGCCTACAGCTTGGGCAGCAGACTTGAAAATTTCCCATTGGACGATATTAATGTTAGATACTATATACAATTCCCATTATATATCAAAATTACCACTTTAATTATTGTATGAGGCATGTGCCTCGAGGGGAAAAATATTGCTAATCAACAGAAATGCCTCAAATCAGTCAACACACACACTCCTAGTATAGATTGAATGTCCCTTATCTGAAATGCTTGGGGTCTGAAGGATTTCAGATTCTTTTTTTTTTTTTTTTTTTTGATTTTGGGATATTTGCAATTTCTTAATTAAACATCTTGGGGATGGGACCCAGTCTAAACACAGAACTCATGTGTGTTCCTTCTACACAGAGCCCGAAGGTAATTTTATACACTATTTTTGGTGCATCTACATTTGACTGTGACCATCACATGAAGTCAGGTGTGGAATTTTCCCCTTGTGATGTCATTCATACCAGTTCTCAAAAAGCTTCATATGTTGGAACATTTTGGATTTTGAGATTAGGAATGCTGAACCTGTTTGGGTGAAAGCACCTTCCAAGGAAATGTGAGAATTGTAAAGTCATTGTCTTGATGTAAAGGTACTATGGTAGAGAAATTGAATACATTATTTACAACCTGCATTCCAGCCCCTTCCTCAAAATGCAGCAGGTAGAGATAGTTTAACTGAGGGCAATAACTCCTCCAGAGAGTGGTGGGAATTCCTTAGCACTCCTTGTGAGGCCAGGTAGCTGCACCTGAATGCAGGTGAAAGCCATGAACAAACTCACTTAAAAATACAGATGCCAGCCAGGTGGTGCACACTGTGATCTCAGTTACTTGGGAGGCTGGGGCAGGAGGAGGACACTGATTTCTTGGCCAGCCTGGGCCACTTAGAAGGAACTTGTCCCAAAGGAATAAAAGGGATGGGGATGTACCTCATTGGTTAGCCCTTGTCCCCATGCCCAAGGCCTGAGTTCAGTCCCCAGCACCACAAAATTAAAAAAAAATGAAAAACTCCAAAATAAAACATTACAAACTTCAAATGCAGTTGTGTTTCTAAGAAGGAAAAAAAAAAGCAAAAAATACTCAGGACATGGTGACCAAATAAGACCAAAAGGCAGAGGGTATACAGACCAGGGAGGGCTATGATGGTATGATGGCTACCAGGTATAATGGCTGAGGGAGTGGATGCCCTCCCTGGTTGAAATCTTAGCTCTTTCTGTCACCTGTGACCTTGGGCTTGCTACCCTCTTCTTGGTCCTTCAACTTGTTCATCTATAGATGTGACTTCCTCCTCTTTAGTGAGACATGAGGATTAAAGGAAGGAGTGGAATAAAGGAATAAAAGGGTGGGTCGCTGTTCTCTGGTACAGGCTGGGACATTGTAAGATACCCAAAAACATTTGTTGAATTTTGCTATGTGTTCCAATGTGTAGAGAACAAAAACTTCCATGTAGCTGGCAGTAAAAACTCCTCTTACTAAGGATTGATTTCCAGAAACCCATAACAACTTCATACTCCCCAGAGAAACCTTATAAGTAAGTATTCCCAACAAAGTCAGATAAAAGGAAGATATGTCCACTGTCTTTGCTTTTACTTCTGAAGGATCTAGTGGTGCACAGAAACGGGAAAGAGACAAAAATTATGTAAAGCGAAAACACAAAATTGTTATGGATTTATAGATTGAACGGTTCTTTTGGAGTTTCCAGATGGGCTATCACTGAAAAATGACTTGCACTTGTGAAAGTTCAGCAAGGTAACCAGTCAGAAGATAAATATAGGCCTGGCCCCGTGGCACATGCTGTAATCTTGGCGACTGGGGAGGCTGAGGCAGGAGGATTGCAAGTTCGAGGCCAGAGTCGGAATCTTAGCAAGATGCTGATTCCAAATAAAAAAGGACTGGGGGTATAGTTTAGTGCAGAGCACCCCTGAGTTCAATCCCTAATACCAAAAAGCTGACCCCACCCACATACGTCCAGCATGCAGTGCCTGCGCGCCCTCTAGTGGTGTCCAGGAGCACTGCTCACATGCCCCTGCAAACCAGGCAGCAATTCTGCACTACTGACTCAGTGTCCTGCCCTCTGAGAAGAGCGCGGACTCCGCACTGTACAGGTCGCACTGGATAACTAGACAGCTTTCTCTGGGTGCGTGGGGCTGGGCCCGCAGAAGCCTCCTTCTGGACACTTCCTGTGGCGCCCCGCGTCTTTTCTGGGCCTCTTGGGCTTGGTGCCCTGTCCAGGTTGGCAGTGGCTCAGTGAGAACACATGCCCGCCACCCCTGAGGCTCTGGAGTCCATCCCCAGCACTACAGAAAGTAAAAAAGAAAAAGCTCTACAACCCGTGACTGTAAGGGCACCTGAGCCTGCAAGACTCTGGGACAAGCCACTGCCCTGACTCCTCCACTCCCATAAAAATACATGCCCTTCAGAATTCTGCAGTTTCCTCCCTCCAGGGGTCCCGGGCTTCTGCATGAATCTGAGAATACCATAAGGCTTCTTCAACCTGAATTAGTTGGGAGAACCTACCTCAGTCTCCGTGAACTTCAGAAAAAATTAATATGTCACACTATTTGAAGAGTACTTTTTTTTTTAATGTCAGGTGTGGTAGCACATGCCAGCAACTCAGGAGGTTGAAGCAGGAGGATCACAAGTTAGAGGCCAGCCTTGGCAACTTAGCAAGACCCTGTCTCAAAAAATAAAAAGGGTTGGGGATGTGGCTCAGTGGTCAAGTGCCCCTGGCTCCAGTCCCTGGAACCCAAACAACAACAACAAAGGTATTTTCATCTTTTTTGCTGACTTTCTTTTGTTGTAATCATATTTTGTATTTTTTCCATTGCACATATTATAAGACATGTTCCGTGTTAATATGTAGTTTATAGAATCTAACTTTTAATAGTTACATGATGCATAATTAATTCTTAACTTTATAATTGCCAATACCCAGGAGCTCATTCATCCGGGAGCAGTTTCTGCTCTCATAAACAATACTGTAGTCAACAGTGTTTGTGTTTCTGACTTTGATTTCAGAGTAGATTCTCAAAAGTAAAATTAAACTATTTAAACCCTTTCTATATTTTTCCATCCTTTCCAGAGGCATTAATGCCACCAGCAGTGCTTTGCTCTGCTTTTGCTTGAAATTAAGAGATTTAGTAACCAAACTCTCACCTTAGGGGACTCAGTGCCTCAGAACATTTTTAGCAAATGTAAACTAAACACAAACTCTTGAGTTTGACCATTCTGTATAAGTTGTCAGTGTCAAAAAGAGTCTCTTGTTTACATATGACACAATGACAGAAAACCGAAGGCAAGGTGTTAAAACAATTTGGTGTGGACTCCTGTGGGCACACACACCACACTCATACACCTTATTGCCTTTTTTTTGGGGGGGGGGGCTAGGAATTGAACCCAAGGAGGCTGTATCACCCAGCTACACCCCCAGCCCTTTTTTTTTTTTTTTTTTTGAGACAGGTCTTGCTAAGTTGCCCAGGCTGGTCTGAATCTTGGGATCCCCCTGCCTCAGCCTCTCAGGTCGTGAGGATTAAGGTGTGGGCCATGCCCTGTTCCCTTGTTGCTTTTGGAGAGGAAATAGGAAAAAGATCTCCAATTTGATATGAAATTCAACTCAAACTTTGTAACATTGGGCTTCCTGTGACTTTGGAATGCTTTACTCTTCAGATGAGCCACTGGTCAGTAGATCTTCCTTATGGTACTTTACCTCCGTGGCCTTGCATGCCTTCCATCTGTCTATGCAAAGCGTCGATGTCTTGGTGGTTTCATGATGGGAGACGAAGAGGCACTGTTATGGGAGGTTTAGAGCAGGTCCTGGCATCAGCTTCCCTTAGGAGCCCAGGCTGGGCATCTCTCCCGCCTTGGGCCTGGCGCAGGACTGAGCACTCCATTTAGCCTGGACCTTCTGCAGGGCTGGGCTCCATGCCAGGAGGATATGGTCAGTTAAGCCCTGCACTGGTCCCTGGGAAAGTGGATCATGACTGCTCAGGAAGCTGCCAGAAGATGGTTTGTCACAGCAGCAGTGTCACCAGTGGAAGACGATCTCTTTGGTTTAATTTACTTGAGCTGAAAATTAGAAGAGTGTTGAGAATGGGTGTGTCTTCATCTTTCTAGCTATTGATACATGGGATCAAGAAGATTGAGAACAATTTAAGACACACCTATATGGTGACCACGTAGTTTTCCAGGTGTCCCCAGTAAGACTTCAGAAGCGTTAGAAATGGCATTTGCTCCTGAGTTGCTTTTTGCCTCTTTCCTTCTTTGCTGGACACATGGTCCTCCTTTGCCTTCACCCCTAGGGGCTGGAAGTTGGACCCAGAGCCTTGTGAGGCACTTGCTCTACTGTTGAGCTATCCCCAGAAACATCCTTGTT